CAGAATATTTTACAAACGCCCATATACTTCTGGTTGCCACTACGCAGGACCCCGCTTTTTTTCATCTTTTTGTTTTTAGCAAAGGCCTGCGCGTCTTGCGGCAGGACACGCCCCAGTGACTATTCACCTTGGCGCCTTGTCACCGATGCTTGACGTTATTGTGAGCCGGAACTGACTAACCGCTCAGCCATTTGGCAAATACAAAACAGCATTTATGACTTCATTTGGTTCCAAAGGTTTTCTAACCCCATACTTTCAGACCCACCATTTCTTAAATATATCAAGATGGATGTAGCTAACACACAGACAGTAAATACAAAAAAACAAAAAGAAATACAGAATGAAAGTAAGCTCCTCAAATCGTCGGACCTAAACATCAATTCTAATAAGTGCTTAGTAATTATTTCCACTTTCCTGCACGTGAACCCTGGTCTTGTGCGCGCCCTGAGACTTCCGGGTGGCCACCCTGATCCCGGCATCATAGGCCAGTTCCAGCCACTCCATGGCCGTCAGGATAGAGAAGCCCAGCCAGAGCCCCAGCTGACCGCCAATGTCCGAGAGGAGTCGGTTCCAGTCGTAGGACGGCCGAGATTCCACACGCCTCACTGCCAGATCCTCGAAGTAGATGACAACTCGGAGAACATTCTCTCTAGTACTAGACTTAATCGAATTGTAATCTGCTTTATCCCAGCCATTGTTTACAATCTCATTAAGGATTGCGTTATTGCTAGGCCAGAGAGCTGTAGAGTGAGCCACATCATAGGCTACCTCCTCGCAAGGAGGCAAACAACGGCTCAGGCAGTCCAGCTCTCCTTTTTCAAACATCTTGAGGACTTGCTTTTTGCAGACAAATTCGTCAGTGTTGGTGGCATTGCAGAACGAGATGTTGTAGAATTCTGGAGGACATATGAAATGTAGATCACAGCAACCACATTGATAGCCCAGCTCTCGCATGTAGCACGTTTTGCGGCAAGCCTCTGCCGTGTAACGGGTCCCTTCAGTAAATGAGTACACGTTCAACTCAACATTCAGTTCATCTGTAAGCTCCACGCATGCGCTGTACGGGGGCGGAGCTCGGCTCATCTCCACCTGAAAGTACAAAAGACTGCTCTCTCGAAGATCCACTATAATATCCTTGATAACCTTCAAATCATGTTGAACCTAGTGAATATACAGGGTGTCCTTTTTTTTAAAGGCAAAAACTCGATCAAATCAGAACTAATTTCAACGCAACTCAGAACAAACAAAAAAATTCCACCAAGAGAACATAAACTGTGTAAATATGAAAATAAATCTATAAAAGAGTTTGAGAAATATCAAGTTTTAAAAAGTTCAACCAAAATTGGGTAAAACGTAAAATTATATTTCTAAAAAGCGATCAGCTACAGGAGAGTGGTGGGCCCGGTCTGGTTTTTCAGAGAAATGACTATAAAACAACGACAGTCACATCAGAAGGATATCTCAACGTGCTGTGTAAGTTTTGGAGAAGTTTGGGGAGGAGAAAGTATGCTGACGAGGCCTCGATTCAGTGGGAAGGGACCACACCCCACACGTCAAGAGTGTCCCTTGTATGGTTGCAAGAAAGGTTTCGGAAACATTATCGGCCAAAAGTTTACAAATGAATGTAATAATAATGGTTACCACATTGTCCCAGACTTTAGCTTTTTGACAGACGGAAACAACCCACAAATAATCGAACAGTTGAAACTCAGTGTTGAACAAGCGATCCAAAGAACTGACCCATAAACATGTCAAAGGGTTATGCCAAAGTTCCAGTTGGGTATAGGAGAAGTGGTAAACATCTGGAAATTTAAATAGCCACAACCTATCCTCAGCTTATTTATCAGAATAAACATCAATGGCCACGAAATATCAGCCCAAACTAAAATAAAATATTTAGGTGTAGTGCTATATCTAGATATGTCAATGAAATCCCACGTATCCAGTCTTTGTAAAAATCTATATCTCCAACTGAAGAAAATGGGGAGTATGAGAAAATATCTATCTGTTGGTGTCACCAAAACTTTAATAACATCACATATATATCAAGGATTGATTATTGCAATTGCTTACTATTTATGAAAACCGATATCACTTATCATATTTCCTGGACATTTCCTGAACAGTGTCCAAATACGTGGGTACGAGTTTCTGTACCGTAAGCGTAGAGCAAGGGGGCAGAGACTTTTCTGGCAATTAATAGTTGTCAGTTTTTGTCTCAGTAAAAATCCAGTGGTTAATCGTTGTTTACATTGTGCTGTACAGAGAGAGGGGACGTCAAATCCCCACTTTCAGAAGAGTGTTTTCAGAGTCTGTAAAAGTTTTGAACTTGATTGAAAACGAAAACCAACCTTCTTGAGACCGATGTTGGTGCTTGTTCCTGGCATCACTATGAGGCCCTGGTCCTCAGGAAAGGCGATGGTGTCTTGTGGGTTCACGACGATTTTGAAGCCCACACTCTCTGTGGTGTCTAGGTATTCTGACTGCTCAACATCTAGTTCCAAGATGAGACCGTTGTCTGGGCCTGGTTGTGTGGTGTATCTGGCGATTGTTCAATGAACAAAAGAAAGAGTTTAAAACTTTAGATAAAAAGTGTCACTCGACATGTTGAAACACATTCTTTTAGCCATCTTTATTAATCTGTACTTCATAAGGTGGCCACCTTTTCGGTATAACAATTTTAAACAAAAACTGGTTTTCCGGGTTTTTAAAAAGACATGACTGTGTTGTGTATTTTTGTAGTTGATTACTGTAGATATTTTTTAGCATTGCTTTATATTCAAGAAAATTTTGTGTAAAATATGACATGACAAAGTAGGTGCGGTAATATGAAGAAAATAAAAACTAAAACAAAACAAAATTAATGTAAAAACCTAGCTTCATTTTTCGTTGATTATTGAATTTTCAAATTTCCTTTTTGATTATTAGTATGTTTAGGCCTTTGACTGCAGTCTGCACCCCCCCCCCTCCCCACCCCTGGCCCCTAAAAGAAAAAAACCCAGAATTAAATAAATTAGTAAGAATTTTCCAAACTAAAGAACTAAAAAAAATAAAAAGCAAAATCAAGATTTTTTTAAAGCTCTGAGAGCAAAAACACGAAAGCAATCAAAAACACCCACCCCTCCCCCTTCCACCTCCAAGTAGAGATAATGCAAAATGGCTATAGATAGATAGATAGATAGATAGATAGATAGATAGATAGATAGATAGATAGATAGATGGCTCTTTTGGGCTTTTTCACCTTTGACTTGATATGTCATTATGTTTTTGCAACATATCGTTGAAAATGAAGCATCTGCCATACTTGTAGTTGAAAATTGTCAGGAAATCTCCAATACCACAGGGGACCTGTAGAGAGAACAATTGGCATACGTTACGTAAGAATGGGTTGTAGCGATATCAATATACCAAATAAAAGCATCAATAAAAATGAATATAAACCAGTATGATAATAATAGAAACTACACTGACTGTTGAAGAGGACGAAGAACAGAAGAATATAAGGTGAGGGATAAGATAATACTTTATTATCCCAGAAAGGACATTTTTCTTGGCTTTACAGGACCGTAAAAACACATGAAAGTATACATAAAAATTTAAATTATACATTACTCTCATTAAAATGGAATATGAAAAGAAAAGTAAAACTGACAAAATGTATATTATACCACATCAGATGCATTATTCAACCAGGAATTTTACTACAAGACATTTAAAGATATAATAGATACTTACTCGAAAGAGCAACGCACATTGATGTTTATTCTGAAAATAGCCTGATCAATCAATCAATGCCTTTCACCCCTGGCAGGGTATAGGCCACATACAAACTCCTTCCATTTTTCTCTGTCCTGGGCCATCCTTCCCAGCTCGTTCCAAGCGAGCTTCATCTCTCCCATGTCCCTTTCCGTACATCTCCTCCATGTTTCCCGTGGCCTACCCCTTCCTCGTGCTTCCTGTGGGTTCCACCGCAGCGACTGCTTGTGGTGTTTTCCCTGGGCTTTCTGAAGGTGTGTCCAATCCATCGCCACATTCCTAGTCCTATTTCTACTTCTATATCCTTTTGTTCTGTCCTTTCTCACAGCTCTTCATTTCTTATTCTATCCTGCCTCTTAATTCTTAGGATACTCCTCTTGTTGATGAGAGTCTGGACTTTATTCAGCACTGTCTTTGCTGCCTTCCAAGTTTCACAGACGTAGAGGAGCACAGACTTGACTTTGGAATTAAAGAGTCGAGACTTGGTGTGCAGTGAGATGCTGCTTGCTTCCAAGATATTAATTTGATGATTGGTTGAATGCTGACCTTGCCTTGGCGATTCTTGCTTTTACATCTGCCTCAGTTCCCCCTTTATCATCGATGACACTTCCAAGGTAGATAAATGAGTCCATTTCTTCCAGGAGCGTGTCTCCCACTGTCACAGCGGGGCTTGAAACGTTTCCTAGCTTCACTACTTTCGACATACCCGGATGTATACGTCGGCCAACACTCCTTGATAGACTGTTGAGTTCCTTGGTCTTTTCTTTCATTTGAGCCTAAGTGTGAGAGAGCAGAGCAAGGTCATGGGCAAAGTCCAAGTCGACCAGCTGCTGACAGAGAATCCACCGTATTCCATTGCACTTGCCTCTGGTGGATTCTTTCATGACCCAGTCAATTGCCAGTATGAAGAGAAAGGAGAGAGCAAGCATTCTTGTCACACTCCTGTCTGTACCTGGAATGGTTCTGAGAGTTGCCTTTCTTGGAAGACTTGGCAGTTTGGTCCATCATAGGTGGCCTTTACAAGCCTGACGATTTTGTCAGGTATTCCACAATGCCCCATGAGTTTCCACCACAGAATTCTACACTTATAGAAGCGGAACTCCTCTCTCGTGATCGCTGATTCGCTGTGAGGAATTGAAACTAAAACATGGCGGCATGGTGAGGGGAGCGTTGGCTGCGCCGCACATCGAGACTTCGAATTACAATGCTCGCTGATGATAGTGATAGGGCTTGGAAGACGCCTTACATCAGTATTTTTTTACAGTCTTCGTAGAGGGAATAGTGAAATAGTACATTTTTATTTCCAACTGTCTAGACTGTTATAATTCGCAAAATCACAATGTTTTTGTGTTGTTGTTTTTTCAATGATGGGGTGGGGATCTAGATCTACTCACTCACAATACACTTGATAATAACAATAATTATAAACATTTATTCTGTTGGGAAAATATCTAGATCTAGTCTTACGATAAAGGGGACGCGGCCACTAACATGCTCACGGCAATTACATGTTATTAAATGTAAGGCTGTCCACAGAAAGGAAAAATAATGTAGCCCATCGAGGGGGATGTTGACTTGTCCCCCTGTAATCTCCACACACGCAGTACATAAATACACATACACGAACACGTATTAGAAAAAATAAGTGGTCTCTTGTTACGGATCAAATCGAAGTCCTGTTACAATTCAATAATTGATAATAGCGCGTATTTAGTCATGTGTGCAGCAGTTCACGTACATTGCAATGCATTGGCTAACCCTGCACTATATGCTATTTAATAAATACATTCGTCAGATCTGAAATCTTTAATTGTAATCATACTATGTGCCCACGCGTGGGAAGTGAAAGTGAAAGGAATTGAAAATGCTTTCAAACACAATTGTGAAAATATCAAAGTACATAATGTAAATATAAAGGCCCAGAGAGGTGTATGAATGCGAAAACAAATGTTTCGGATGAAAATGATACGCCAACTCTACTACAGCAAAGATAGTACATAACAAGATGGGCCACTCAGCCCAAAAAGTGTCCGCCAGAAGTTCGCTCTTTGCTTCAGATGGCGCTGCAGTCTGTTTTGAAGCTCTCTTTCGTTTTACCAGAAGAAGAATATTATGAATAGCACCTCCTTGCGTGCGCAGATCGACTGCTGTTCATCAGCAGTTAGGGTATGTTCAGTGCGGAGTTTTAGGGTTTTTTAAATTTTAATTACTTCTCGCCTTTCATTCTAAAGTCAAATTAAAGGAAGAAAACAATCACCCTTTCCCCCGGAAGAGGTTTTTTGTCAGCGTAACCATTAAAAAAAGCGTTCTTCCGAAATTTATTCCAAAACTTGCTAGTTTCACTTTGATTTTTTTAAACCCAAGTAGGGTAACTCTGTTTGCAAAGGGTGCGCTTTTGCGAAGAGAGCGCCACCGAATTTTGAGGACACTTTTTTTAAATTGGCTCAAGGAGAGAAGTGTTATTGTTATGTTGTTGACTACAGCACGGTCAGATAGTTGTAGGAGAGAAGTGTTATTGTTATGTTGTTGACTACAGTACGGTCATATAGTTGTGGCGCAACTTATTATCAAATATATCCTTAACTTTCGAACAGAGATTCTGCAACTTTTGCACAATGACTTAGATCTATATCAATTTGCCAAAATCAGATGGGCATCTGTTTTCAAACACCTGTACACGTTATTCAAGAAAATTCTGTGATAAATACAAAAAGCAAAAAATTAATCCCAGTCTATGGTTTCTACAGATTTTAAAAAGTTTACAACTGGAGCAATATCTCTTTTAAAAGTAAGTCCGTCCTTTCTTTCTAATGGCGATACATAATGCTTATTGAACGCATACTTTGAGAAATGTAATTTAGTGAAGAAATATGTTCACTATTAGACCAATTTCTTGTAACAAGTTTTGCTGCGAAAAAGTAGCGTAGGCGTTATGCGTATGCAAAGTGTGTGTGGGAAGGGGAAAGCGCTGGGAACAATCCCATTTCCCGCCTTACGTTCTGTAGACTTATTTTTACTACTTCTGTCCTCTGCTTTTTCTGTTGTTGCACCAAAAAACGCAGCAATTTAAAACCATGATTGCAATCTTTGGGAACTCAAAATTACAAACTAAATGTAAGAAATGTTCCACTTTTCACTCTGTAAAAGATGCCCTTGCTTTGAAAGCTATAGGATCATTTCCGAAAACGGTAAATCTTGCCTTCACTACGCCATTGTTTTCGGTCCTCAATTCCTCACAGTGCACGTGGTACAGCGCCTGTTCTATATTTATAGAATTCTGTGGTTTCCACAGAGTTTTCCTGTCCACGATGTCAAACGTCTATTCAAAATCTATGAAGTTGACCACGAGTGGTGAATTCCATTCAAGCGATTGCTCAGCAATGATGCGCAGAGTAGCGTTCTGGTCCAAACATTATGGGTTCTTACGGAATCCTGCCTGATTTCCTCTGAGCTTATAATCTGTTGCCAGCGTGAATCTCTCCTGGAGTATCATGTTAACAATTTTCCCAGGTATGGGCATGAGTATTATGCCTCTGTAGTTGTTACAATTGCTGATGTCTTACTTCTTTGACAGCTTGATTGGTGGCCTTCCTTCCAGTCTGAAGGTATTTCCTCCAATGCTAAGTAGCAATTTACTCCTTCTTTTATTTTTTCAGTGTTCGTTTACTTCACATTCATCCAGATCTTGAAGGGCTTGATATCCGTTCTTCAGTTCCAACTTGAATTCATTCTTCTTTACAGGGTCTTTATGCTAGATGGTAAAAAAACTTCTTTTATGTCTTTATTTCTTTGTTTTTAGAGGTATATATCTGCCCCTGTGTGATCTTACATTTTGCGTGGAAATAGGGTAAGATAGTTCGTTTATAATACTCTTTATCTTTTTTTCATACATTCCATTAATTAATGAAAGATAACGAAAAAATTGGCAGAATCATTAAGAAAGCTAGCAAGATCTCTGAATAAGATCGTACAAAAATTTCATCCTACAATTGCCAGCCTAGCACGAAATACAAAATAATGTCACTCTTTCAATCGTAGAATGGTATAAAAGGGACATAACGTTATTGTCGATCCGAAAACGTCTTAATTTTCTTAATACAAGGAACATTTTTTAATGTACTTTTTATGCACAAGAGCAGCGTGGGGATGCCAGCCAAGCTTGTTATCAATCGTTATTCCAGGATATTTGAAGAAGTTTACAACCTCCACCTCCTCATCTTTTATAAATAGTGATTTTTTTAACTTTAAAATATATTATTAATTCCATTAGCATTTTGATATTTAGTTAAAGGATGTGGTAATCTCACCAATTTGTAAATACATTTACTGCGTTCCTGTATTCATTCTCATTTGTTGTGAAAATGCCCCATAGAGTGGAATCATTAGCAATTTTTATTAGTTTGATGTGGTCGTGAATATTAAGTCGGATTTTACACCTTTTGATTTTACATAGTGAGTCGTGAGGTCGATTGGTTAAGAACTGAAGAATCCAAGCTACAATGTTTTTGTTTATGTTCATGCTGATTAATTTTGAAACCATTATGTGGGGTTGTATTGTGTTGAAAGCGGATGAAATATCAGCAATAAAGTATCTTGCAATAATTTCGTGGTGTGTCTATGTGTTTGCAGGTGTTATCCAAGAACAAGATAATGGCATCCTCTGCGCCCCTCTTGGCGCGACAGGCAAATTGCATGTCATCTTGTGTCTTCGGTTGATTTCCTCAGTTCTTTGAGAACCAGTTTTTCTAAACATTTCATAAGAACTGTTGTTAAAGCCACAGGTCTGAGGCCGTGCAAAATTTGTATTGATTATTTCTTTGGGACAGGAATTATTTCAGAGCATTTCCAGAAGAAGAAGAAGAAGAAGAAGAAGAAGAAGAAGAAGAAGAAGAAGAAGAAGAAGAAGAAGAAGAAGAAGAAGAAGAAGAAGAAGAAGAAGAAGAAGAAGAAGAAGAAGAAGAAGAAGAAGAAGAAGAAGAAGAAGAAGAAGAAGAAGAAGAAGAAGAAGAAGAAGAAGAAGAAGAAGAAGAAGAAGAAGAAGAAGAAGAAGAAGAAGAAGAAGAAGAAGAAGAAGAAGAAGAAGAAGAAGAAGAAGAACAACAACAACAACAACAACAACAACAACAACAACAACAACAACAACAACAACAACAACAACAACAACAACAACAATAACAACAACAACAACAACAACAACAACTTATTATTATTATTAAGTACCTTGTTGGGTTTCACTCACCATATCAAACTCGCATTTCAAAAGTGCATCCACTAATTGATGAGTCGTTGACACGTTTTTGGACTTGTGGTGTTGCCACATCAGTTCTACCACTTGTTCCTTAGTGAAGTTGTTCTGTGGCAATAAAATGTAATAATGTCGTTTTAATGAAGAGGGTGTATCCTTTTTTCGTCAATACATTTCCCTTATAAATAATTTATCAATGAGAATAACAGATCTGGCAGAGGGGAAGGCAATACAATTCAATACAATACAATGTGTGTGTGTGTGTGTGTGTCTGTGTGAGTGCGTGTGTATGTGTTTGTATGTATGTGTGTATGTGTGTGTGTGTGTGTGTGTGTGTGCATGTGTGTGTGTGTGTGTGTGTGTGTGTGTGTGTGTGTGTGTGTGTGTGTGTCTTTACGAATTTTTCTCCCCTAGGAGGAACTTCAAAAATAGAAAAACAGAAACTTTAACTACACAAAGAATAATTCCAACTAAAGCTTACACACAGATTCGGTGTTCTTGAAAAGACCCAGTGTCAACTGAAAGACTACATAACATTGTTAAAGAGTAAGCCTGACAAAGTCTTAAGGGGGGGAGGGGGGGCTACACCTGAAGGCTACCTCACTTATTACTTAATTAAGCGAATTTTATCAAATTTCACACATATATCAAGCATAGTATGGAGTCTTTAAATCTGCAATCAAATTTGAGAAAAAGTTTCGTTTCCATGGATACGGTGGCTATATTGGATTTTGTTGACATGTCTTACGTGATGAATACGCACTTATTGCTCTTGGAAATTAGTTGCATGCGTGTTTACAAACTTTAGATCTAAAAATATGTCTGTTGTTTTTTTCCTAAACGAATTAGAAAAATTTTTAAGAATTTTTTTCCTGAGGTAGCATTCAAGTTTTCAAATAATCCTTAAAAATCCACACTCCAGACACCATCACCAAAAATTTATTCCATATATCAAAAATTCAACAGGCGAAGTTTTAGTATTTTATCTTCACTTCATTCTGTGAAAATTTCATGAAGATTGGATGAAAAATGATGGAGTTATTCAAAAAAGTATAAAGAAAAGTCGCGTTTTGAGAAAACAGCCAATACAGAAATATAAAATACTGACTTTATGAGGAAATGGCTGTGACAAACATGCCCGGTATGGGAAAAATTACTGGTTTTTGGGGGTTCTTATGAGATGAAATAGTTGTAGGAGAGGCTGAGGAAGCTAACAATGCCTACAATTCCATAATTTTGAGCCAAATTTTGACTTTGGTGGTGTAGCCCCCCCCCTCCCCCCCCCCTCCCCTTAAAACCAGTGACAAAACCTGTTGAAGAAAAAAATTTGAAGAAAATAAAAAAGATTGACGATCTGAACATGAGTAGGAAAGAAATACACAAACGAACAAAATGGGGAAGAAAAAGTGTACAAATAGAGATAGAAGGAAGAGGAAAGAAAGCATCGAACAAAAGATAGAAAATGCTAAATGACCTAAAGAAATATGCAAATATGTATGCCAAAAGGAAATAACAAGCATGTTAAAAAACAACTGATGAAGCAATCTCAGATAAACAAGAAATACTTTGTGTATGTGCAGACGTTTATACAAAGCTACAATAAACATGGGTAACTTCGCCAAAAACAGTAATGAAAACAAGGCAAGACCGTTTACAGAAGAAGAAATAGAACTGGCTCCAGTAAAGAATTTTAAAAATGAAAGTGCCTGGCATTGACGTAGGAACTATCGACATACTAGAAAGAGGAGGAAAAACTAAAAAAACATATAGAACCAAATCATTCAATGAAAGTTTATAAACTCAAACAAAAATCTACAGACTAATAAGTTTATTGTTCCATACGTACAAATTGTTTACAAGAGTACTCCAGAATTGAACGAAAAAAGAGCTGTATGAGAACCAACCAAGAGAACAGGCTGGATTTAGAAAAAGACACTCAACAGCGGATCATCTACAATCATTAAACCAAGTTACAGAAAATGCCACGAATGCAATCTACAGCTATGCGTTGGTTTGATTGATTGCGAAAAGGCTCTTGACTCCTTTGTACGCTGCAAATTTTTAGGATTTGAAGTTACATAAGCATGGACATGATAAACATCCAATAATTGATAGACATTTATCGAGAAGCGTGAGCTAGAATCATCCACCTTGATAACCGCGTGTCAGAAACGTTTGCTATAGAAAAGGGAGTGAGGCAAGTACATCCCATATCACCCAAACTATTCACTGCAGCAATCAAAGATATTTTCAAAAAGACATCAAACCGTTAAAAAAATTTAATAGAAGAAGAAAGGGTATCAACAACAACAGCCTCAGACAGGTTCAAGAATTTAAGTACTTCGGAAGTATATTCACAGAGGATGGGCGACTGAACAGAGAAATTGAAACACGAGTGCAAAAGGCAAATACTGTTAGCTACCAGCTTACTCCACTACTGAAACATCCTAACATCCCCATGACAACAAAACTCAAAATGACCAACACCATATTCACCCCGACACTCACCTATCAATGCCAAACATGGACCACGAACAAGACATTAGAGCAAAGAATTACATCATGTGAAATGCGATGCCTTAGAAAAGCAGTAAACAAGACCAGGCGAGACAAAATTAGAAACGCAGTAATAAGAGAAATGGTTGGCACAAATGATGTCATGCATCACATCCAACACCAAAGAATCAAATGGTTCGGACATCTCAAGGGGTTACCAACACACCATCCAGCACAACAACTTGCTTACATCAAACATTTGATGGCAACAAGGCTAGAGGGCGACCGAGAAAGACCTGGATAGATGGAGTCCGGGAAACATTAACAACACACGGCATCCCCCTAACCCAAGCTCTCCGACAATTGGCAGACAGACGTCTCTTTTTTCACGCAACGCACAAAAGGGTATAAGCGGCGGATAAAAGTAAAGTAAAGTAAAAGGAGAACAGCTGAAAGACGAGCAGATATTCGCCGATGATGTGGCACTTTGCACAGAATCGACAATAAATGGAAAGTAACCTAAATATGATAAATATAGAAAGAAAAAAAGGGGACCTTAAAATAAACAAAGACAAAAGCGACAAAACGACCGCCATAGAAGACAAGAACATTGAAAAAATGACGTAATATAAATGTTTCGGGAAAAACATAAATATGAAGCAGGGTACAAAAAGGAGGTGAACAGAAAAATATATGTGACTTGGAGTTGCTCTGAAAAATACAGAAAATATTTAAAAATCAAAATCTGCCGCTATAACTGAAAGGACAAGTCTCCAGTCGCTGCATTGTCCCAGCAGTAAGCTGTGGATACCAAACCTGGGCAATAACTAGAAACATCAATTAAGAAACTAAGGACAACACAAAGAACAATGGAAAGGAAGACGCTGGCCATAAGAATACAAGACCCAAAAACCCACACAAAATATGAGAGAAAACAGGAGTGATAGATGTACCCAAATTCACACTTCAGCATAAATGAAAATATGCCCGCTACATCGGCAGAATGAAAGACAACGGACAGACCAAAAGATAGAAGCAGAATGGAGACTAAGGACTGGGGAAAAATCTAGAGACAGACCAGAAAGAAGATGGCAAGACGACATCAACGAGAGGATGGGAGCAGCCTGGACATGAAACACTGCTGACAAAACAGAGTGGAGGTCGTTGTTGGAGGGTTATATCCTGCAGTGGACGAACAACGCCTAGAAGGAAATAAAGATACAATATGTTTTGTACCTGATTAAAATTAAACTAGAGCGTGTTGAAGAGTTTTCTTTACACTGTTGGCATCATAATAAGACAATAATAAAAGAACAGACAACAGACATATGTTGGCAAAAGGAACGTACTACAATATTGTTATTGATTTACATCAAATTGTATACAGTCTTTTAAAAGAATGAACTGTATTACTTTTATGTCTTAATATCATTTTGCATTTAACTCACAGAGTCGCTATGGAGGTGCTCAATGAATTCGGGTTCTGTCTTATTGTATATAGACAACCGAAGAGGGTTGAGGTTGCATATGGTGATCACTGGAAACTCCATCTTGGATTTATAATCTACGGTGGTCTCCGTGGTCGTTGGGTTGTGGAGAAAGTCCTTTAGCGTCTGGCTAAGGTTGAATGTAGCTAGACACGCCCCTGCCAGGACTAGCGCTGCCCACAAGGCACGCTTCCATTTGCTCTCACTGGACACGGCACGCTGAAGGCCATGCATGCTGGTGGACTCGCTGAACTCTTGGAAAAGTCCCATGCTGCTACACAGTTCCTGGTTCCAGGGTGAGGGAGTTTGTAATGTTTTTCTGAAAACTAAGTCTTGGTTTAGAAACTGTTTTATCAGCTTAACGTTCAGTGCGACGTATCTTTATTTCTGGGGCAATTTGATAATAATATCATTATAGGCTACAAGGTAGGTGTTATAAACTGTATTTTGTAATCTGTTAGTAAATAAACAAACAAATAATCAAACAAACAAATAAACAAACACAGTACAATGCATTACGATTTTAAAAGGGGGAATACAAGATGGATCTGACGGCGAGAAAACCCTTTAAAAAACAACCGGTTTGAAAAAAAGCAACTTTCCCACATTTAAGAAACGGAAAAGAAAAGAAAAAGCGGGAAAATTCCCAAACTTATCAAGAAACAAGACAGCAACAAAATGATTAAAAAAATGATAATGACAATCTAAACTGGAGGGGTTATTACTTTTTCAGAAGAATGGAAAGGAACAGTGTATTACTATGAGATTTTTTTTCAAGTAAACTAAAATGTAGTGGCTATCATAACAAAAATATAATGTGAGAGTTCAAACATATAGTATTATATAGTGTAATTTTTTGAAGTATATATTATAGAACTCCGAAAAATCTTCCACTATTAACCGCACTCCTTTACTTCTACAGAATCCAGATTCACTAAAAGCTCATCGAAACCAAAGATTCTTCGGTGTAATATGCCTACATGAGAAATAGAGAAGTACACTCACACCAACACAAGACTTGTCTTTATGGCTTCTTTTCAGAGCGTGCCTCGTGTCACACACTTATAGAGATAAAATTTTAATGGCTGTTGAAATGGTATCTATTTTGATGTTTTGTTGACTGCAGTCTTCGATTTAAAAATTGAAGAGAGCCGGATCATAAAACACTGACTGGTCTAATGGGCATCTGTGGGTCTATGCAGGAAGAGTAGCGGTGTGCGACTTTGGCCATTCATCTTTAAAGCGTTGGAACTTTGAAAGAGGGAGAGAGAGAGAGAGAGAGAGAGAGAGAGAGAGAGAGAGAGAGAGAGAGAGAGAGAGAGGAGAGAGATGGGGGGGGGGAGGGAATGAGTGAGACAGAGGGAGGAAAGGAGAGAGGAGAGAGAGAAGAGAGAGAGAGAGAGAGGGGGGGGGAAGGGAGAGAGAGAGGAGGGGATGAGAGAAAGAAAGAAAGAGATACAGAAAGACAATGATTACGGGAATTTCGATTTTAAAATGTATTTGGGGTAAAACGCTATTTGAAAAACGGTTTTGTTCCGTTTTTATGGTTTAAAGGTCAATATACACTTGTCAATTGTCAGCCCCGAATATATTTCCCCTGTCCTCTTCTTGTCTTTTGGTTCAATGAACGCGCATTCAGTTAAATAGACAATGGTTGTTTAAAACATCGAAGTGACACCGGGGGTAGGTACAGAAACTATTCCCAATGACAACCGAACTCTTTTGCATAAAAAATCAGAACTCTTTGCACTGTAGACTCTCTTCTCATTTCAGTTCAGTACTTTTGTTCTCTTCTCTTACTTAGGGCTTAGACTTGATCGTAGAATAGATCTAGATCTAGAACTAGATTTAGATCTAGAAGAAAGAAAAATCGGGAAGGATTTCTATCTGTTCTGTACCGTGGTCTCCAAAATCCGTATGTAAATCTAGATCTAGATATACATATACATTTAAATTACGACTGAATAACAAGCAAGCATAGAATGATCATACCCTTTTCTTCAAAAACAATTCTTCCACTCACACCAGAATCTACTTCAGTTTAGTTAGATCTAGAATCTAGATCTAGATCTACATTAGATGTAGTCTAGTATTTAGTAACCCATCACCATCATGCTCATGTAGATCAGTGTAGGAACAATATATCTAATGGGCCTGTCTGTTCCTAGTGTCACTGGGAATAGTTTCCGGGCCTATCCCCAGTGTCACTGGGAATAGTACTTTCCTTAAAACATTTAGACATTACAATGAATGTCGTCCTATAAGAGCCAGATCCGCGTATCTTGATTTTGGCTCGACAATTCTTTTCACCCGTCGAAAGATCGTATCATGGGCTTCATTTGTATATAAATTTAATTGAAGTCCTCGCCTTAAAATCGCTATAAATGGCAAATAACTGTTTCGCTTCTCATAGCTGTTTGCTTCCAAATTAGCTCATCTTGAGATGTGCGGAATTGATTTCAATATTATTACAAGTTGAATGACGTAACAAAAATTACTACAGAACCGACAGTAGAGCCAAGAATTCCTAAATCGCGTATCACATGAAACGCTTTTAGGGCTTGATCGTTTCCTGTGTGTTGATCATTCGCACTACTTTCTTACTTACGACCCGTTGCGCCATCTGGCGTTTAGGACAGCAACAAAGGAACTCAAAAACTGTCTGTTTTGGGTCAACGTCCTCCCCGAATGGTTCCATACTTCATTTCAGACTCTACTGAGCGTCTCCAGGTCACTTTGGGTCTGCCCCTCTTGCGAAGTCCTTCTGGTGTCCAGTGGAGGTCAGTCTTTACAATAGTCTGGTTCTCCTCTTAGAACATGTCCAACCAATCTCCTTCTTCTCCATGTTAATATGGTGGTCTTATCTTCTTGCCTACTAACTTACTTTACGTTTTCATCCTCAGTTGCCGTTAAGCGTCGAGGGGAGATGCAGTTTTCTATGATAGGCCAGCTCCGCAGCTCTTTCATTTGTGATGTTATGTCCTCGTCGGGGGAGGTGGAAACAGGACAAAGTAGGGGATAGCTGGGTCTGGGTGAAGTACGGTGTGACTTTATGTTACTGAGGCGTTACGCTAGCCGTGAAGGCCGACCCAGGTCACCCCGAAACGTTGCTGGCTACAGGGGCTCTGGTGAAACCGTGACTGGCCTAGCAAACCGAAGGCAGGTAATTACTGACACGAAACAATCAAAGGAGAAACAGCTCGCACCCCTCCTATCTCATCCAAACCTCTCCATGGACACAAAGAGACAGCTTATCACCTCTTGCCTACATGTTCGTAAAAGATCTGCGTTGGAAATCATCCATACATACCTACATTAATTAGTTTTTGTTCCTCCTGAAAAATTCGCTGAAAACCTTGATAAGTGGAACTGGCTCTTATAGGACGATGTGCTGCCGTATATATATATATATATATATATATATATATATATATATATATGTATATATATATATACATATATATATGTATATATATAATATATGTGTGTAGGTATGTTTATGTGTGTGTGTGTGTGTGTGTGTGTGTGTGTGTGTGTGTGTGTGTGTGTGTGTGTGTGTGTGTGTGTGTGTGCATGTATGTATGCCTGTATGCCTCTGTGTCTCTCTCCGTCTCTCTATCTCCCTCTGCCTTTTTGCCACTTGCTCTGTCTCTCCTTCTGTCTCTCCTTCTGTCTCTCCGTCTGTCTCTCTGTCGTCTCCCGCTCGCTTGCTGGCTCTCACTTCGCTTCTCTTCTCGTGTAAAGATACTGGTACTTTGGAAGATAGACTTTGAAATCTGAGGTCGTTCTCGCATGTGAGATAAACGTAGATCTACAGTGTTGGACTAAGCATCAAACCGTTTCAATATCATATTATCGTAATATCATATTCTCACTTGACCATTCTTACCTAGCCTTCTGTCTCCTTGTCCTGCCCCCCTTCCCCCCCTCCACCCGATGCATCCGTTATCTCAATTAAAGTCCCCCTCTTCTGTGTTTCTCTCTCTCTCTCTCTCTCTCTCTCTCTCTCTCTCTCTCTCTCTCTCTCTCTCTCTCTTTCTCTCTCTGTCTGTCTGTCTCTGTCTCTCTCTCTCTTTCTCTATCTCTCTCTTTCTCTCTCTGTCTGTCTGTTTCTGTCTGTCTGTCTGTCTCTGTCTCTGTCTCTGTGTCTCTCTCCCCCTCCCCCTCTCTCTCTCTCTCTCTCTCTCTCTCTCTCTCTCTCTCTCTCTCTCTCTCTCTCTCTCTCTTTCGTTTCCCGTTTTCACTCTCCCACTCTCTCTCTTTCTCTCTCTCTTTCTTTCTCTCTTTCTCTCTCTCTTCTCTGTCTCTGTCTCTGTCTCTGTCTCTGTCTCTGTCTCTCTCTGTCTCTCTCTCTCTCTCTCTCTCTCTCTCTCTCTCTCTCTCTCTCTCTCTGTCTCTCTCTCTTTCTCTTTCTGTGTCTTTCCCTATCTCTTTCTGTGTCCCTCACTATCTGTCGTTTCTACCCTTGGCCCCTATGCCACCACGTTCTTAAGCTTCCTCTTCATCTCCCTTTGCCCGACTCCACTCAAATTCAGGTTTTACTTCAGACCACCACTCACCCCATATAGATAGATAGATAGATAGATAGATAGATAGATAGATAGATAGATAGATAGATAGATGTTACTTAATCACACCTACCGATGAATGAATAGTTGTTGGATGAAATCAGGGTAACTTGTTATCCAAACATTTTCATCATTTTAGAATTGATTTTATATACATTAGTTACGCAACCCTTTTCATGGACTTTGTTAAGAGTTGGTCGTGGGGGGGGGGGGGAGAACTGGTCCCACTGCACACTGTACAGAGGTTGAAGGAAAAGATAATAATAGTTACATATAATAATAATAAAACTATAATAATATCAATAACAGCAATAGTAAAGATAATAATAGTAATAAAGTAACAAAAAGAATAGTAATAGTAAAAATAATAATAATAGTAATAATAATGATTATTATCACAATAATACATGTAATAATACACTGTGTAACAACAACAAAAATGAAATTATATAATCTTGATAAATTTTCTAGCTTTTGTTAATTTTGGGATCATTTGGGTAATAAACAAAATAAGCTATTAACAATTCTGTGGACGAACATTTTGTCTGATCAGCTAATGAGAAGACTTGTGTATCACAGTTTTTCGAAACTCCTCTACTTATCAAATACGTAGATGCATTTATAAACAGCAGACCATACACACACACACACACACACACACACATACGCACACACACATACGCACACTCATGCGCGCGCGCATCCGCTGTCCCTCGACCAAACTGAACTCCCGAGTTTAGAAGCTTTAAACATTTATAGCAGTTTTTTATGACATGGTCGATCGGACTCGCCAACACCAAGCAACTGCTGAGTAAATGATTGAAATCTACGTAGATTCTCATCAATATTTTAGCACTGAGGCGGCACTCTCGTATACATCCTAGAAGCAACAATCATTTCACGCTTTTGTGGTCAAAAGGCAACAACTACAGGCAAGAGGCCATTATTTTCTGCTTGTGTTTGCGCTGTGGTTTTTTTGGACTTTCTTTGCAAGTTTCACATTTTGAAATTTCGGGAAAAGCAAAATGTCGTTACTATGAGTATTTTTGTGATATTATCTTATTATTCTATTTATCTTTCTTTTGCTATATTTGTTTCACACCAGCGCTTACAATACACTCGCTGTTTTTGGTCTTTTTGAAACCGTTCAGTAAAACAAACAGTGCAATTTTCATTACAAGTTTTTCGTTCAGCTGGCTTTTACATAGGGAGATAAAGTGCATAAGTCAATGAAAGATGAAAGAAAAAATAACAAGAAACACTTTAATAATAAAATAGTTCTAGAACAGTGAAAAAAACTCACTTCATACAATTTGCTTTATGATAATTTTCTTAGATTCTGGCTTGAGGGTTTATCCTGAGCTGTTTCTGTTAGTTTAGTCAGATTTTTGCGACGCTCACAAAAGAATAAGGTTATATGAGCTTGCCGAGTTGTTTCTAAAGAGATGAGGGTGGATTGAGGTAGATGGTGTATTGTTGAAGCTTTTTTTGTGCTCTCTATCCCGTTTTTAGCTTGTTTGCGTTTTTTCATTCTTTTGTGGGAAGCGGGAGCGAGTTGTAACTCTATCTTTTGTTTGCATAGTTTTGTAAATTACTTCGACTAGCCTCATTGGGAAGGTGGTGGAAAGGGGAGGGGGGTATGGCTATTTTTACCTTAAGGACCTTAGGCAGACCTGGGCCTTCTATTTATGTCCTCACTTTGTTGCGGGTTTTTTTGGCCAGTGAGCATTTTCACTTCCTCTCTGACCTTAGATATTAGTTTCATTGCATCGAAAAGGAATTTTGATCTTTTAGAAAGATATTGAGAAAAAAAAAAAAAGATTAAAACTGCACAGACAGGAAACTTAACTTCTATAATGCGATAGACTTTGCTCCTGAAAGAAAAAAAACCCCTCAAAACAATCTCACCCTGAAACCTGGAACTGTAGACCAGCATGGGACTTTTCCAAGAGTTCAGCGAGTCCACCAGCATGCATGGCCTTCAGCGTGCCGTGTCCAGTGAGAGCAAATGGAAGCGCCCCTTGTGGGCAGCGCTAGTCCTGACAGGGGCGTGTCTAGCTACATTCAACCTTAGCCAGACGCTAAAGGACTTTCTCCACAACCCAACGACCACGCAGACCAAGGTATACTACAATCCAAAGATGGAGTTCCCAGTGGTCACATTATGTAACCTCAACCCTTTTCCTGTAACGAACTTAGTAGCTGAAATGGATTTCATGACCATGTCGAACTTCTGGGAGGCTGTAAGTTTTAAAAACATGTTCATTTTGTGAGTATGTGCGTCTATGTGTGTGTGTGGGTGGGTGTCTATGTGTGTTTATGTGTTCATACATGTGTGTATGCGTATGTGTTTATGTTTGTGTGTGTGTGTGTGTGTGTGTGTGTGTGTGTGTGTGTGTGTGTGTGTGTGGGTGTGTGTGTGTGTGTGTGTGTGTGTGTGTGTGTGTGTGTGTGTGTGTGTGTGTGTGTGTGTGTGTGTGTGTGTGTGTGTGTGTGTGTGTGTGTGTGTGTGGTTGAAAGACAACATATTTTCGAATTTACCAGCATGTTTGATTCTTCTTCCAACAGCAAGTGTAATGAGAAGCTGCAATGATTGTTATTGTACGTATTCCTTTGTCTTCGTGTGTAGTCAGACACTAAAAAGGGGAGCAAACAATTACCGTTTATTTGATCGTCTAAAAGTGCAAACTTGACAAAATATATTGTTTTCTTTGTGACGGCAGAATAACTTCAAACTGGAAGACGTGATGGAAAGCATAGTACAATTTCAGAAGTCGCAAAACGTTCCCATCACTTTCAAGCTGGGTGATTTAGTCACGGACTGTCAATTTGATATGGTAAGTACACCCCCCCCCCCAAAAAAAAACAACAACACAACCATAGGACTCATGAGATTTCTGGTGAATCCTGATTGTACTAGCTTGTCCTGCTGCACTTCATTCCCCTTAGTTATGTTATGCCTAGCCACGAGGTTGATGGCTGTGGTTCGAATGCCTCTAACTGATTCATACCCCCCCCACCAATAATTATTTTGACTGCAGACGCAAATAATTTGTGAACTCTTCGTGACCCCACATTTTAAAAAATATTAAAAATGTCGAATTCGATAAAAACCTCTATGTATGGCATTATGTGTGGCATTATGTGTGGCATACAGATGTTCAGAATTTAACAACTATTCAACGACAAACCCAAACAAGGGTTTACATGTAAGTGGTGAGGGAAAGCTGATCTGAGCGGACCTGCGTCAAAACACCGGAGACTGTGAGCGGCGCTGCAGGCTGAATCAGTTAAAGAATGTTTTTCAGCAGGGATGTTTGCGGGATTTTCATGACTCTCCTCCCAAGATGATAGGTCCTACATGACCCATTGGAGCAGAGGAAGGTAGGACCAACGCTAATATTTTTTAAACGCAATCCCACATCATCACTCATCACCACCATTATTTCTAAAATCGCCATTGCTTTCAGATCATTAACTTACATCCATAATCCTTGAATCTCTCTCTGTAACAGTTAACTGGCATACTGAGTATGCTCGTAATTCACCTTTAGACACTATCATACGCATTCTTATCTACTAATCCGATGGCGTCAATCTCATATGAATGGGCAAGGGATTAAAAAAGGTCCTATGTGACTCTTAAGAACATGTACTGTGATGTAAGTAGCGTTAACCTCTCAAGGTACTACACGTGTACAAACAGTCCTATAACTATTTAGTGGAGAACACGATCTGGTTATTTTATTTCCATAACCTCCTCCTCCTCCTCCTCTTCTCGCTCCTCCTCCTCCTCCTCCACTTCCTCCTCCTCCTCCTCCTCCTCCTCCTCCTCCTCCTCCTCCTTCTTCTTCTTCTTCTTCTTCTTCTTCTTCTTCTTCTTCTTCTTCTTCTTCTTCTTCTTCTTCTTCTCCTTCTCCTTCTCCTTCTTCTTCTTCTCCTTCTCCTTCTCCTTCTCCTTCTTCTTCTTCTTCTTCTTCTTCTTCTTCTTCTTCTTCTTCTTCTTCTTCTTCTTCTTCTTCTTCTTCTTCTTCTTCTTCTTCTTCTTCTTCTTCTTCTTCGATCAAGTTGTTTCCTGAACACTAAATTTCTATTTTCCACAGGTACCCTGCAGAGCTGACGATTTTCTGACAGTTTTCAACTATAAGTATGGCGATTGTTTTGTCTTCAATAAACAAATTAAAGAAGACTCCAATCGTACAAATCAAAGGTGAAAGATATGGAGAAAAAGTATATTACATAATTTATAGTTGGAGTTATTTCAACTTTGTCTGTATCGATTATACTAGAGATTTTCTTCTCTAAAATTGCCTTCTCTTACCTCCTTTCCTGCTCTCTAGCAATGTTCTGTCGTTTGCTTTCGTCTCCACTTTCTACCCCCACCCCCTCACCTCCTTTACCCCCTCCTCTGGACTACTGACTCTTTCCGCAGACTTTCTACTACTTGGCTCCTTCTTACTGGTGTCTTTTTGCCACACCCCTGATCTTCTGGTAGGAAAGATCTATATCTAGCCTTCTCGGCCGCTCAGGCACAAAGTAGACTATCAAAACCCCACTCTTTTAAGCTCTGAGAGGGAAAAAAAGCTGTTCTATTCAAACAAAGTCAAAAGACACATAGTTCACAAAAGTTCTTTTGTTTTGCCTTTGATTTATTTTCATTTTCTATAACTCTGAACTGATGTGACTCATCTTGGGAGGGGGGGGGGTGGTTGTGGTTCTAAACATGGGTGTGAATCGAAAAGTATGAAGAAAAAAAAAAAGAAGCTAAAAAGAGCCGTTCGTGTATAATGAATACATCATTTAAATAGAGTATGTCAGAGCTTATGACCTTATGGAGTTGCGAGCGCTGTAGAACTCTTACAAAAATAGAGTATGTCATTCTTTGTTCAAATGAGCGTCTCCAGATACACAACGAAGCCTGGTCCAGATAACGGTCTCATACTGGAGC